GCAGAGCTTCCATGGTTCCAGATTCTTCAATGTGGCCATTTTCATCTTTGATGTGCATCATTAGCTCTGAAAAAAATAAAAGTAAAAAGGGGTAAGAACACTGCCGCAAATGCACCATACAAGTTAAATGATAGTAATACAGTTTCAAATAAAAACAAAAGTACCTCAAAAGTAAATCATACTACCTCCGTCCCATATTGATTGTCCACTTTCAATTTGACACGATTATTAATAAAGTGGTTGAAAAATAAAAGTTGTGGTTGAGATTTGAGTAGAATAAAGTGAAATGATAAGAACCACATATTTCTTTCCAAAAAGGGAAACAAGACATTCATTTTGGGACAACCCAAAAAGGAAAGCAGGACAACCAAAATGGGACGGAGGGAGTACTATTTAGAAATGAATTAAGTATCAGAGGACTAAAAATAAAAGCCACAATTTATAATCAGCCCATTATACATGAAACATGAGGCTTAAAAACATTAGGAACAATTCAGCTTTTGGATGTGCATCATCTGTCATCCTTTTAATGACACAGATACAGAGATACACAGTTACACACTGCAATTTATGATTAAAGTTGGTTTACTCTAGAAGTAGAAAGCACACTATGACACTAGGCTAGTAGGATAGAGATGATATACCCTTCTTTTTACACAAAGGTTGCTTAGAGGGCTTGAGCCTATAACTTAGTACTACATCCATCCCATTTTAAAAGTCTCGTGGTCAGCTCAGCTCTGTTTTAATCTCTAATTTCTATCATATTCATATTCGGTTTATGCCTTTCAATAAAACTTTTAGTGCAGTTTCTAAATATATAAACTATAATTACGAATATAACTTATACTATCCTCCGTCTCTTTTTAATCGCAACATGTTGAGTTTTACACTATTCACATGTTCTACTTTGACTACATTTTATAATATTATTTTATGAAAATTATTTTTTTAAAAAAATATTGTTCAATTCATCTCATTACAAATTTTCAAAATCTAATTTTTAAATATTTTTTACTAATAGAGATTAAGATATAATTACGGTCAAAGACGTGCATTGGCAAGTGTGAAATGTTGACCGTTGCAACTAAAAAAGAACGGAGGGAGTATATTATTAGGGGAGAGATAACTTTAAATTCAGAAAACTTCATAATCCAAAATAGGAGCTTCACATAGGGAAACTACAGTATAATTATTAATTCAAAAGTCAAAACAAGGATTGCAAAATTACCAAACATAATAGGTACTTAAGAAGAAAATGAATCATACAAATGAATAAAATACTTTTTATCACTCACTGGGAAATGTATTCCACATGACTGACCTGGAAAATAAGTGTGGTATCATTTTTAAGAATCAAGACAAGGAAGGTATTAATATCCACAAAGTCTGAAGATAAGATAAAAGCTTGCACTAACATAGAGCAAGGCAAGGATCTAACAGAGCATAAATGTGCAGAACATGAAACCTAAAAGGGTAGTGATGTGTTTCCTTAATTCCTTACCATTTTCATTTTCCATTGTTGGCATCATTAATGATAGATCAGCCAGAGTTTGAAGAGCCTCAAAGGTAGCACTGTCATCTATATAGAGAAATAAAAGTTAACTTTGGCACGAAGTTTGTACATAACAATTGTCATGTAAGATATTATATACTCCGTATTAAACAAAAACATCTTTTGAACGAAAGCATTCTCAAAAAACTGCCATACCTCTCTGAAAAAGAACCTTTTTGCTCCTCTTTCTGAGACCAAGAGATGACGCCCTTAAAACTTTTTCATCAGCGACCTCCATGTCATGCTCTGTTCTTACTACATCTAACCTATAACCTTCTTCTGTACCACTACATGCTTCCTTGTTGTCAACAAATTTAGTCTCACTAGTGACGTCAATTTCTGACTTTTTCCCAGAGACCCAGCTCCCCTTCTGGATTGTTCTGCCAGTTTCCATCAACCTGTGTAGTTCTCCTGTGTCGGCTTCCATGCTTCCTTCATCCTCATCCATTTCACTGCTATGAAACTTGAGATTGACCATTTCCAGGCCAGTCTTCTGTTTAGATATATATAAAAAATGTAAATCTTCAGAATATAAAATTCAAGAAAGCTTCGGAACTTCTGGTGGAAGTTGAATTATTACCTTCTTTTCAGCTTTTTGGGTGGGAGTGGATAACGCACTGTCAGTTTGATGGCTAGGTGTATGCGAGATCTGGGGAGAACTGCCTCGTTTTGAAGCTTCAGCTAAAGCTATAGCAATTTCATGAGCAACTTCATCATCATTGGCATCTAACGATCTGTTCAGGCCTTTAGCATTTTCATAAGAATATGGTACAGGAAACCGTGGTGTCCTTTTCCCAACAACACGAGGCCGTGTCCCTGAATGAAAATTTCATAAAAACATCATCAACTATAACACAATAAGAACATGTATACCATCTAGCGGCCTTAAAATGATAACTAAATTCCTTTAGAGGTTTTCAAGAGAAAGGAAAGACACCTCCAGAGCGTTTCTTCTTCAATAATGACAAACAACCATTATTTGATGCTAGAGTAGGGGGTTGCAAATCAGGTCCTTTAAATGTGCCAGCCTGAACTTTACCTCGAGCACGCTTTTGAGTCTTCCGAGATGTTCCTGCACCCTCATTGCTTTCTTGTTCACTATCGCTCTCTGCCTGTCAGCCACATTCCAATAACTCAATCATCACGCGTGCAAATTAATGATACCTCTTGAAAATCAATATGCTTTAACTAGAAAGCCAGCAATAAAAAAGAACTGTCAACTTTCTCATTCATAAAGAGGTGAATTACATGTAGGAAATACAGTCAGCAAAGAAAGTTCACTCCATTTCGGAAAGATTGTTTGCATCAAGCTTTATGGACAACACCAAGAATCTTGTTTCATAAAAAATATGCAAAGACGCTATCAGTGATGTGCTGAATTTCAATTACTCCATACAAGAATGCTATAGCATTTAGACTATTCTTATGGTTATTAATCATTACTTATTCATAAATGAAGAGCAATTTTGTAGATACAATGGAAAGGGCATGCTGAATGTGCAGAAAAAGAGGCCTCATCAAATTCAATGATATAAAGTGCCACGATACTAGGCGATTTAGTATGTTTGCGAGCCACGTGTATCTCACCATGTTACAGTAGTGATCAGTCATCATTGCAATCAATCCAATAACAGAAGCAGTCCCCTCTGGAAGAGATAAGTAAGCCTGAAAGTAAATGGGTAAAATATATACAGCTAGCATATATAGAGGACCACATGAACAAATAAACATTTGTTCATGTATATTAAAATTTGTTTATAACACAAACTATTTAAATCACATTTACCATATTCATAGAGTAAAGTGCCTCCACCATATCAACTGACCGATTTCTCACAGCAGCAGCCACCTGCAAGGCATATAAAATGACACTCAATTGAACCAGTCACTTATGGAAGTATAGAATTTGTGTTTTACGTGTGTGTGTGTGTGTGTGTGAGAGAGAGAGAGAGAGAGAGAGAGACGAGCAATAACTATGATCATGTGTAGTTCAACTATTAAAATAAACTTTCATGCTGGCAGAATCCTGAGTATAACTACACAGTAATTCTTGTAATTAAGATATAAAAGAGAAAAATATTCAAGAACTGAGCTTCAGATTAAGAATTTGATGTCCAACCTTTTTCCAATCTTTACCATGTTTCCTGTATGCATCATAAAAACGACTAAGCTCCTCCTTACTCCACTGGGGACCTAGCATGGACAACTTCCTTTTCTGCAATTAAATTGGAAATGCGTACACAAAAAAGTTTTGAGGTTAATCAAGTGTTTCTGAGATTTATATAACAGTACATGTTTATACATGTGTGTGGACACACAAATCAAACATAAGTAGATGAGGAGCAATGATTTTACATGCATATTCGTGTAAACTTCAGCTGAGATTGGAACTGTAGGGTACTTATATTAGAAAAATGCCGTCTGTATATGGAAAAAAAAGTAGACACAAAACTCACCCGTGGATTGCTTCTTTTAGAGCCATCTCCTCCTTTGCTAGGGGAGACTTCAGTTACATTCACATATCGCTTGTTTATACTCCTAGATTTTTTCGCAGGAGACATAATCAAAATCCTGAAAACATAAACTACATGAAACAAAAAATTGAGTGGAAGTTAATTACTCCAAAAACAATTAAACAAACAAATACAAACACACAAAACAGTAATTGTATTTAAAATGATGGCCAATCTGGCTGTACATAACTTGATCAGGTGACTACACTATATGTTACGGAGTACTATATAAGAACCTATTTTCCAATAGTGGAACCACAACCTTCACATGAGCAGTACGGAATGAGTGCAAGACTTCAGTTTATTATTATTATGAATTCTTATTATAGCTAGTAATGAAGGTATTGGAATGAGTGCAACCATTACGTATACAGATTATAGCTCAAAAAAGGTCCGATCAATTTAATACGCTTAAAGAATATCTACACTGAAACCTTGCTCATATATAAAGCCTACCCACCAGCTTGACTAACATGCTATATAAAAAAGATCATTTAAAAATGCACTCAATCTAGGCATGTCGTGCTTTGAGACCTGAAAAACTTTAATAAATCAAGACCCGAAAATGATTAGAAAAACTACAAAATACTTCCGGAGCTGAAATCAAAAGCTCGATCTGAGACTGATCGCTGAAAACAAAAAGGCAGCAAAGGCAATAATTGGCGTTTTTTGCAAATGATTTCGTGTTTTCAGTATAAATACTCTCTGTAACGGAATACAATTCAAAAGAAAAGTATAAGAGATGTTGAATACTAACCAAAAAGAGAGAGTGAGCTATTGTTTATTCACCGAATCGAAAACCCACCAGGTGTGAGTTTCTTCTCAATCGGATTCAGATATTACCGTATAATACCGAGAAGGGAATCAGAGTTTCAGAGGTGATTGGAGACAACCGAACTGCGATGGCTGCAAATTGTGTGTGAGAGGGGAAGCGGAGAAGAAGATGAAATCTTGGTGATGGTAACCGCGAAATTCAATTTATTTGTACTTTTTCTTTCTTAATAAAAATGGTTCAGTTTGAATTATTGAATTTATATTCTTGTATCCTACGGTGAATTCCTTTTGGCAGCCAGGTATTCTGTGCGGCTACGATTTGTGTACTGGAAGATTTCAGGCCGCTGGTATTCGAATTGTTCATCGACTATGGGCCGATCCAGCAGATTTGCTCCACACTGCAACAGAACCAACTTATAGGCCGCCCAACAACCTACTATTTGATTAAGGATAATTCTATTCGAAATCGCCAAATTGGTAATTAGCGTCACCAATTTAGTTATTTTGCAATGACAAAATGTCGAACGGGACAGAGGTAGTAGTTTTTATATACTCTGTAAATATTATATTTATACTGATGTTATAGTTATGGTAATATTATTATATCATTAAAGTCTATATGTGTAGTATATCACGTAATTATAAAAAACGAAGTTCTTGAGTTTCTACTTCCAAAAAGTCTTCCGTAAGTTTAACATCTTTGTCTCAAGCCCAAGATACGAATTATGCTTGGGGGACGAGATTTGATCCTAGAGAAACAATGATTGATAAGGAGATGGAACAACTTTTGTCACAACATCAAGGGCGTTTTCTTGCACAAGAGACCATTCCATAATTTCATGAAGAAGAAAAAGTTGTTTCAGTAAACAACGACCCACAAGGAGGAGATCCCCCCCCCCCCCCCCGTTGATGAGAAAGAGCGGCGGCGGCTATTCCTCACAAGTCGATAAAGTTAATTCTAAAAACAATAGGATCGGTTTTTTTGTTTTTCATTTTACAAAATAGAAGAACCTCAAAGATGTCGTGTCTTAATGCCGTATGCAGCTTGCAATGACTGTCAAGCCAAGATAAGGAATGGTGTAGCCAAGGGCTATGGCAATGTGACAAGACATTTTAATGCAAGGCATCTCGTGAGGGCAGCAAGGACAGGGATGAAGGTGACACAAACACAAATATCAAGGTTTGTGAATTCTCAATCTTTTGATTAATATGTTTATAATGATGAGCAACATTTAAAAGCAATATCTGAATTTATTGATGAAGAAAATAAGATTTTTTGTTTGAAAGTTTTGCCTTACGTGAGTATGCTCAAGGTTCACTAAATCCTGAATTTAGGAATTATGACAATTATTAAGGAAGTTATCAAACGTAACAATATAATCTTGAAAAGTATGGATTAATTAACTTTTATGTTCGTTTTCCAGGTTGTATTACTATTTGTAGTGATGTTTTCATGGAAAGATAGATATCATTACTTGTATTGTTTAGCTGTAATTGTGCATTATACTAATGATGATTAGATGATGCATAAGAGGACTATTGCTATTGGAGCATTTAATGAGAATACACCGGTGATAATATTTATATTTTAATTGAAAGAATTTTAAGTGCATATAATGTGACCGATAAGGTCTTTCCTTTTGGATTTGATAATGCAAATTGTCATATTTTAAGCTAGTAACACGCGATAAGAACTCTTTCCAAATATCTTGGTATTTATAATCCTTAGTCATTATCAGATGTTCAAAGAAGAAAATGAAAATGAAAAGTAGAATTAAAAAAACAAAGTGATTGCGGATAAGAAGAAAATACAGAAAATGTTTAAAATGCCTCAATCCCTTTGCAAGTATTTCAGTTTGCATTATCATGGATCAGGGGTGAGCATGTGATGGTACGTGACGGTTCTCTAAGAAAATCATATGCATATGTAGATGTAGATGTAGGTGTAGGTGTAGGTGTAGATGTAGATATTGTGCATTTGTAATCTTTATGTGTAATCATGAGCTATTGTATTGATTTACCTAGTCATGGACTCGGTTCGGGCCACCCGGCCCGCTACTGTGCGGGACCGGCTCGGCCCGCTACTGTGCGGGACCGGCTCGGCCCGGTGCTTCGGGCCCAAAACCGGTCTCTGACCCGGTTAGAAGGGAATATCGGGGCAGGTACGGTTCTGGAAAATGGTGAACCGGTTGGGCCGGGCCCAGTTCGGGCCAAACCGCCCCAAACGGCTAGTTTTTAAAAAAAATCGGTGAAAAGTTTTTAAAATCTTATGCACATATTCCACATATTTATGGTATTGCATTTATTCTTGATCCTCGTTACAGACTTGCTAATTTGCATTGATGTTTAATGTTCTATTATCTTGCTTTTTTGGTGAATATCCAATGTATAACGATAACTACATAGATCCTTTACAAGAATACAACGAGGTTAGTACTTTATTTTATGCCTTATTTAATGAGTTTCATGAACAATACGACAACACGCCCATTCCCCCGACACGAGCATCTTCATCTAAAGGAAAATCAATTTTTAAACCTGCATTTGGCAATCTTTTGAAAAAAAACAACTCCCGCTAGTGAACAAATTACAGTTAATGAGATTACTTTGTATTTAACATATGCTGTTGATTTTGAAGAAAATGATGACTTTGGCGTTCTAAAATGGTGGAAGTCAAAAGAAAGAATGTTCCCGATTTTAGTACGGATGACTAAGCAAGTACTATCAATGTCAATTTCAACAGTCGCTGTAGAACAAGAATTTAGTTCAGCCGACAATGTCCTAATAGATTCTAGAACGAGATTGAGCGCAAACTCTCCTGAGATGCTTGTATGCTACCACGATTGGTTGAAAGCCACACGTAGAACTCAAAAACTTAGCATCACCCCCTCCCAACACTTTATGGATGAATCAACAACCGAGGATGACTCTACCTATGCCGGAGATTCCGATTAATTAAAATTTTATAATTTATTATAAAGTGTATTTCATATTTGAATTTCTTCCTCAATTCTCAATTGTAAACTTGTAGACGTTGTAGTTCATATTTCAAATAAATATATATTCATTTTTTATATGTAACACTTCTCAAATTAATTAATTGGTTTGAACTTATAATTAATTTTCTAAATGTTGATTATTATATTTGGAGTATTATATTATTATTTATTAGAAATTGTATTTCGTATTGTAATTTTTTTCTCAATTCTCAAATATAGTTCCTATTTCAAATAAATGCACTTGAACTTTGTTTTTAATAAGCACTTGTATAAAATAGTAGGGGAAAAAATTAAAACTGACCCAGCCTGGCCAGGCGGGTGGCCCAGCCCGAACCAGCACCGGTCACAACACGGGCCGGTCTCGGGCCCACTTCCACATCTCCAAGGCCCGGCCCGAGTCCATGACTAGTCATTTACCTCTTATTATTTTCATTATTACTAAATAAGTTTTCTTCTTTCAAAAAAAAACAACCGGTAGGCAAAAATTTGAAACTTCAACTTTACAGCTATTGAAATTAGAAACACACCAAATGGCAAAGTTAGGGGGAAAGCAACAAAAAGGCAAACTTCAATACATTGCCTCATACCCATTACCCAGTAACCCAGATCAATGAATTTACAAAGCCCCCCTACAGTTTAGATGATAATTGGCCAGTCGTCTTAGCTGCGTAGAAAAAAAGTGTCTGAAGTTTATAGAGAGAATACTACAATATTAAAAACAAATGAAAATCAAATAAAACAATTATGTCAATTTACATCACGCCTCATTTTGAAGCCTAAGACAACATAATAAAAATAAAAAAGCAGCAGCAGCAGGCACACAGGCCAATCCAGCTGTGTATACATTAAAGAATTAAAAGATTAGATCGCCAAGGGCTTATAGGGAGTCAAACTCAACACCTCTCCGCCTATCCAAGGATTCCAAGCAAGAACCGAAATACATCGCTAAGAGATATGATACCTTCAACACGCTTGCTTCAAACTCAACACCTCTCCGCCTATCCAAGCAAGAACCGAAATACATCGCTAAGAGATATGATACCTTCAACACGCTTGGTTCCAGCCTCTACAATTACAAGCCGCCTCACACCTAATAGAAACAAAATGTTTTATATTGCAACAAAATGGCTTTTGTGCCCTTGGTAAAATAGTATGGTGTCAAAGAGAGGCAAAAAATAGTTGACCTGGCTTTGATAATTTGTCCATTATTTTATGGAGCGGATCAGAACGTAAGCACATATGACATCTTTCATTGCCAACCACATAGGGAGAAGAAGGGTATGGTTCCTCTCCAAGTTGCAGTGCCTAAAAAGCATTGTGCAAAAATGTGTATAAAGTTTGCCATCCAAAGATTGATTAAAATACAGAGTTCAGCAACAAAAGAAATTATTGCTCTCTTCACTAAACATAGAGTTGCAATTTAAAGTTTCACTTTTGATGCCCATGATCTGTGATTGACACACTGCTTACTCACTTGCAAAAAAAGAAAAGGGGCTATACTCATTGTAGTCTTTACTATGGTCTTTAGCGATTTATGTAACTATGGTCTTTAGAAGAAGAAAATTAAAAAAGAAAGTGATATGTAGATTATTTAGAAACAGCCAAAAAAGGTATGAAGTTTTTAAGGGGAAGCGGAGAAGGGGTAATACTGTCATTTTAAAGAAAATATAAACCAAATAATGAATGATAAATTTATTTTGAAACATCCACAAAGGAAAACATGATATTTTCAAGCGACAGGGTAAAATGTGATAAACAATTACACAGACATGCGGTATTGCACAATACACTCTTTAATCGGCTTCATCGTACTTGCCTGATGAATTGTCATTTCATCAAGATTGATATGTGTGTAGATTTTGTCCTTGGCCAAAGCTGTAATATCACTGTAGATGGACTTAGAAGATTAACATTGAGCTGTGATTTAGAGACAGAATAAGACGTGAGACTAAGTTATTAAAATCAACGCCAACCTTCGGGAATATATATCCAATAATGAGTCATTCTCGTCAACAATGGGAATTGAACCAACTTGAGCTGCAAAAGCCAATGAATAAAAGCCTAATAAGCCTATAGCATAAACTATTCAGAGTAATCATTTCTTACTGGTACTGTTACCAAACTCAGAGCCCCACCAATTTTGGTGGTTTGCCTTCCAGGATTAAAAAAAAAACTGTTACCAAACTCAGAGCAAAGAATAATACTCCATCTGTCCCTATATTACTTCAAATTTTTCAAGAAAGTGAGAAGTGAACGGTAAAAATTTAGTCAAAAATTTAGCCAGAAGAGAGAAATATTGTGAAACACATACTTATAAAAAATGGAAATGATTTTGGGACAGAACATCGGAAAGTATGTAAACAATTTACGAATACAGTGAGCATTCAATATCCAAACAAAGAAAACCAAAAAACGAATAGGAAAGCCAACCTTGAATTAATAAATCCAATGCGGCACTAAGAGAGTCTGTCGGTCTCAACATTGCCAAAGGTCGTGGATTTGGCTCTCCGATTTGGGGAACCCAGGTGCCCAAAGGTATTGCATTGATTGGGAATTGAAGAATGGGTAGAGATGCTGGTGAATGCCTGAAATACCTGCAAATATCTGCAAATTGGCACAAATCGCGTTAGATCATAAACCAGATAAAATTCCTATTGTGGTTTTACAAAACTAAGTATAAGAACCTTACATTTTAGTACTTCAGACAGGGAAGTGAGATACAGTAGCTGTGGGTATGATCCATCTTCTGCTGATGAATGAATGATGGGAACTGTTGCTATACCATTTTGTAAAATTTTCAAAGCAACATTTTTCAAGTTATCATCTGGACCAGCCTGCACATATAGATATAGGTCAAGAAAATTTACTGGTAAGTAGGACAACTCCATATATTAATATCAATTGAAGTATACACATTTAATCGACATCATCAACTTAATTCCAACTATGTTGGCATAGGTGACATGAAATTTAAAGTCTCAATGTTAACACTAGTTGCATGCAACAAGAACATAACACCTTAGTGGAGAAGTTTCACAACGGATGCTTTCTTCTTCGAGTGCAAGATTCTTAAGAAGGAAGTATGCGATGAAATTTCCAAAAAATATCTTTTAGGTACACTTGCATTGATAAAACCATTAGATGGAGAAGAGTTCAGACAGTTGTCATTAACATGTCTCACTTTAAAATTGATATTATAAAATTAAAATGCACATTATAGAATGTGAATGCAAGTATTTAAAAGTAATAAAAATCTATAAATTTTAAAAAATAAACAGAGAGAATAAATAAAGGGATGCTTAGCTGATAGAAACCTCCAGATAATCCAGAACAATTACAGCAAGATTAATAAGAAACAGATGAACACTTTATTGAATCAAGAAGAACAGTACAATAACCAAGGCCGAAGCCTCCCAAAAGAGAAGAGAGAGTGATTCTGAGGTTTCTATCATTAGCAGGGTAAGACAAAGCTGATAAAGTGATAATAGTTTCGGGAAAAAGTGAGAAGATAAAAACTTAATGCATGGATACAAAATTTCAGGATTTTGGCTTTTTATTTGTACTAAACAGATAATACTAGTTTCCAGCATGACCATATACGTCAATAAATCATCAAATCCAAAGAGAATGCCACAGACTATGACATAGTATGTACTAATAAACTCACAGACACAATTAGTCTTGTTCCCCTTCTCTCATTAGTTTGTCGGTTTAAGTAAGACTTTGCTTCTTTCCAAGCAGAAATAGTGTGTGTCTCAAGTTCCTCCTCTGTGAGGTTTGACCCATGAGTTCCCAGCTGCAAATAAGAAAACAGGTCCTTAACACATCTTTTTCGTAATTAAGTTGATGGGCTTAAAGCTCATAGTAAGGTTTCTACTGCATAAATGAGTATGAGTGTGACAATATTACTATATACTTGCCTCCCGCATGATCAAGATAAAATCCAATGCACTCAGAACTCCAACAAAATTTCCCCTGTTAGAATCCCAAAGTGGAGCCATAGGAATACCCTGGGAATACAAGCACATAGATATTATGCGTATGAATTTGATAGAATATAACAAGGACGGAAAATAAAATTATTATTTAAAAAGCTGTTTAGTTGCACATGAACATTCATCGAGATAAATGACTCACTCTAAACACCAAATTAGCAGTCAGGTCTAAAATGTTTGAGGTGGGAACAAAATTCATTGTAAAAGAGGAATTACCTGCTCGTGCAGGATATGAAATGCCTGCTTTACAGGGAGTTCAACATCTAAAGCAATGACCTGAAAGACACAACTAAATCAAAGAAGGGAATCGATAATTTGATCATTTATATTCAAGGATAATAGTGTAGACCATTTGAACCTTTCCTGACTCAGGAAGCAACTCATAAGCAATATGTGCACACAAGACTGCAGTTATATGTTGACGAGATCTGTCTATATCTGTCTGCGTTATTCTCGAAATGGGATTTGAGGTACCATCTGACACCCTAACCTGAAGAACACCATATAAATTTGTATATATAAATACGAGATTATGTAAACTGTCCTGATATCTAGAACAATAATAAAACAGTTTATGTGCATGAAGGGTAAAAGTGTTTACACAATCAATTGTTACTCATGTAATCATGTCAAGTTCGATGACAACCAAAAAACAACTAATTGTTATTTGTAAAAGCTGATAAAAAAATTAGTGTACACTACTCTCTTGGGTTCTAGAAACAGAGATGGGTTTTTCAAATACATAAATAGTCTTCGATTTAATTCCTCCTTATTAGATTTTTTGTTTCATTTTCTTTTTTGGAAAGTATTTTCTTGATTTCAGTTCCATATTGGTAACCCTCAAGTCTTAACTAACTTTTCCATTCGGTAAAAAAACTTACTTTTTCATCTTCTCTTTTCCTACCTTTTCTACTTTTTCATCTTCTCTTTCGTACCCTTACTACTTTTTCATTTTCTCTTTCCTACCTTTCCTACTACTCAATCCTACTATTTACACTTTTTCTACACTAGTCACTGCCCTGCTACTTTCTTCTCTTCTCAATGTCCATGAAGAATATATAGGAGCAACTAATAAAATCCGGTGAGAGTATTACACTAAATTGTGTCAGAAAATTGAGAGGGCAATGTAATCATCCCTCCTAAAATTGAGGGATTGAAAGAAAAGAAAAACATCTTGAAAGTGAAAAATTAAAATTTACTGAGCATGATAGAATTTAACTACAATCAAAATCACTGGAAGAAAATCATTAAAATACCAATCTATAAGAAAAAAGGGTGACTAAAAGATTTTGCAAACTAAACGAGGATAAAATGTGTGGGTGATACCAAAAACTTATGGGAGTGAGTCAAACAACGCTGTTAACGGAAAAAACACATTCATATACTGGTTAGCTAACCGGTTTCAGCGAGACAGTTTAGATTTATGCCCTTCATATGTGGGCATTCAAACACAAAAGTATCTAAAGTACTTCATAACTACTTCATAAGACAACACACGGAACATTATCGAGTTAGAAAATAAAGAATTTCTTATGATCTAAAGAAACACAGATAGTTCTAATGCTACACTACCATCAGACTACAAAATATATTGACATAATCAAATGTAGAGTTCAAGCCCTATGCACCTCATTTCCTATACCACTTGTTTCATGACCTCAAATATTTTAATTTGGAGATGCATCCTGGTTATTGTTTGTTTCATTAAAACTGAAATTCCGGCGCATTATATTTAAAATGGCATTGATAAAAAAAACACAACCTAAAAGAATGCATATCAAACACTTTTTAGCTTCAATTCTTTTGGATTCAATTATAGCATGATTATAAGTTGAGGGATCCGAGGATGTGTTAGTTCTTGGTATTATCATTTTAAAACTAGAAAAGCATCCGTACATAAAAATCAATGTAAAAAAGGAGATGATACCCAAGAGAATAATAAAACCGGATCACATAAGAGAAATCCATATAACATACGTTACATACTAACATAGTATCAGAAAGGTAAGGGACATGTCAACATTATAGAAGTCAAGTAGAGCAATACATGAAACATGAACTACATAAAAAAAAGGTGATGCGACGCTATAATCTTGGGGGTCAACAACAATGGTGAATAGGTTAAAGCAGACCTATTATAGTTGTCTGAACTTTTGAGCGCTACGATGCTATTGCAAATACACACACACACATATTAAATAGTAGTATAGGAAAAAATTAAAAATAATGCTCCACATAAAATTTCATTTCAAATGTACATGAAAAATTAGTATTTGAATGCTAAATTAATATTGGGGTTAAATTAAAAAAACAACAGGAAATAGAAAAATGGCGATGCATCCAATATTTGCACATAGCAGCCTCAGAAACCTCATCCCAGTGAAAGCTCATAATTCCATCTCAACTCATTGTTAAAGATGTAAAAGAACCTGTTTTAAGAAAATAGGATCTGAAAATGCCAAGGAAAGGGAGAGAAGCTATAAGAACGTTTTTCAAAAGCAGAAAAGTCTCGTACCACACGCTGGAATGTATCATTATCAACATCCATGTTGGAAATAGGAGCAATCTGTCCAGCGTTCGCTGGAGGATTGTAGTCAGTTTCTCTAGGCAAGATGATAGTGTTTACAGTCCCATAATTTCCCGTAACAAAAGGTTGGTTCTCGTCGTGCCTCCATTCACCATCAACAACAAATTTATACTGCACATGCACAGGGCTAATTCCCAATCAACAAGAGAAAAACTAAACAGTGCCTTTTGGCAGAATGAGATAACACGATAAAAAGATATGTGCCTTTCAAGATATAGCACTTGACAGCCTTGAGGCATTTTTGCCTAAGCCTCATGAGGCGTTAGCCTAGAGGCGAGCCGACATGCAACCGTCATATGTAAATAAAAAATACTTGTAAAAATGTACATAGCTCATTTAAGTGAGGAAATAATAAATATAAAAGTCCTATATAGTATAAATAAATAACCAGTGCATAATAACAAATATAATAGGGTAATAAAGTTCTAGTGTTCATGAAAATAACCAAATGTTTATGCAAGTACTCTAAATTCAATTTTTCTATACTAATTACCAAGTATAGTGAAGCTCCTAGAATAAGAGGTAGCAGGTACAAGACCAAACAGATAAGAGAAAATATCTAATTAAAGAGAAATGTATCTAACTACTAACTAGGGACCTAGGGTTTTGCATATTGAAATATTCTTCAGTTAATACTTTAATAGTTTAAGTCTTTAACTACCTCAAAGACGGGCAAAGAAAAACAAAGCCTTCTTGATCCTGATCTGTCAAATAAAGCCACATTCTAAAGGCTTAAAGAGCCATTTACTTGGTAAAACTGAGGCCTATGCCTTCATAGCCTTGCGGGGATTAGCCTCAAGGCTTACACCTCATGCATGTGTGGCATATGCCTCAATACAACAGAGTGAGGTTTAAGCCACAATAAATTTTTGCAGTGCTTTGCATTAACGCACGCCACAAAGCATACAACTTGGACACTTTTACATGGTCAAAAAAACTTATGGCGGCCCTATAGTGAAATTAAGCCTCTAATGGGAACAAAAAAAATGACCTCTATCCAGTTATTCAGCTTTAGTCCATTTCCTTGTTCTAGATGAAGTCCCAATGTTATTCATCCAGAAACAGTTTCTTTGTGCTTTAGTACAGGGGTAAGACTACGTACATCCGACCCCCCCTTACCCCACTATAGGTGGGAGCCTTTGCGGCATTGGGTAATGATGATGATGATGAAGAAGAAGATGAAGTCCCAATGATAGTACAATTACTTTTGGGGGTGTATAAGTGAAGATAAGCTGTTTGGATACTTTTGAAGATGAGCTTTATAATAAGGACTATTTGTTTAGCAAACAAATCCATAAAACGTGTTAATGAAGTACCTTTAACCTAGTCTACAGAACTTCAAAAGTAGATCAGACTCATCAAACACATATTAACTTAATGAGTTACAGGTTCATTACATAGTATCTCCATCTTGAGAAACATTCAATTTGAAAGGAAGTGGGCAGAACTTCAATTAGTATGATTACTGAATGATGAGAAGATTTTGGTTCACAGTAGAATGCCCTCCCATTATCATGTTACAGAAAACCAGGGATGTAAATGCAGACTTTCTAGAGAGTGTGTGGATAGAGCTAACATTATAAAAAACCATATTATTCAACCCATTTTGCTTTAATAATACGGAAATCTAATATATCATCATATTGGCTATTGGGAAAAAGAATGGTAAAGGAAAACGCTAATGTGCCAAACTAGACTATTTAAAAAACAATTAAGACCAGTAAGAAGATTTTGAAAAAAATTAGCTGGTTCACAGTTTCATGCGAACACCAACACTGAAATTTATCAGTAACAGAAAAAACCAAGAGAGCTGAATATAATTGCAGGACTAACCTGGTGATAACCAGATGGTATGCAACAGATAGTTTGAAAAACAGAAGGACACCCCTCCACAGGAGTCATTGGCCACTGTCCCCATCTGCATAGAGTTCCCCTCTCATGTTAAAAATCACATAAAAATATGGAAATAAACTAAGCATTGTAAATAAAAAACAGTTCTATGAATCCTCACCCTGTGAATGTCCCACTCAAGTACACATTTCTTCCACCATATGGCCATACAAACCGGGTATTGATCAACACTGTGTCGCCACCCCGACCATAATCCATCTCATTAGAGTGCATTTCTCCTGACCTCCAAACTCTGAGGCACAAACACACCAAGCCTTAGGAGAAATCGCTAGCGTACGCAGGACAGGACACGAGGAATGCCTAGGAAAGGAGCGAGATACACACAGAAAACCCAGTAAAGCGCGAATTTTGGAGGTGGGGTTCACGCAGCGGTGAGATATACAGCGGACCAACTAGTGGGGTCGGGGTTGTGGTACGGAAGAACTCGGCAGAGGTGGAGACGGCGGTGATGGGGCGGTTGCGGCAGAGAATTGATTGGCTTAGGGGGCTTTTTTTCTGCAGAGGTGTGGATAGGAACGACGGAGGCGACGAGGGTGAAGCTCCACATTCGACGAATACGGTCGTCAGATACACAGATCTGTTTGGTACTTCGGGAGCGGAGCTTGTTTTTTCAGATCTCCCGGGCTAGGGTTCCAGGTCCCTTGTGTTTTTTATTTTTACTTTATTTCGCACCTATGTTCTTTTTTTTTTCTCATGGATTGTCTTTCATTTGTCTATTGTGATTTTTATTTATGAACTATCCATATTTATTTTCCAAAATTTAGTTTCATTTTTATGTTATTTTTAACAATTTAATTACTACGTACTACCTCCGTTCTTTAATATTAGTCCTCTTAGGCTTTGGCACGGGTTTTAAGAGGAAAGTCAGTAGGGGTAGTGTAAAGGTGTAATGAGTATTGGGTAAATGAAAAAGTAGGAAAGAGAAAGGGATAATGGTAATAAAAGTTGGGGTATAAAGGTATATTTAGAGTAAAAACTTTTCTTAAATGGAAAGGAGGACAGATAAAAAAAAACATCCCAAAAAGGAAAGGACTAATAAAAAAGAACGGAGGGAGTACTATATTTTGGTTTTGTATTCATTTGTATAAATTATTGTGGAGTCATCGACATATATTATTATCATATACTCCCTTCTCTAATATTTGGCCTTCTTTCTATTTTGGGATGTTATCTAAAAGTTGTCTCTCTTTCCCTTTTTAGAATTTTTTTTCAATAAATATACTCATTTACCCTCATTCTCTTTCCTACTTTTTCATTTAAACACAAATCACTACACCTCTTACACTACCCCTATTATTTTTTCTCTTAAACCTTGTGCCAAGCCCTATAAGGACATCTAATAGAGAACGGGGGGAGTATTTATTTGATTCAGGGGCGGGGTGGTTAGCTGACCCCACTGAAAGTACAAGAATGTAGAACTCTGAATTACCTTTGATTTGATATATTATGAGTCTCGTAACTCATTTTGAGTTATGACTTCTGGAAAAATCAACATCATCCGAACTTGAAATGAGCAAAATTGATGTGCGGTATTGATTATATTTTTGAATTTAAAAACAAAACACCTTACTCACTCAATAGTTGTGTGCAGTTTTCAATACATGACATATATATATATATACACACACACACACAATATCTGAATATGTCTCATTGAACTAGCATTTATCTCAGTTACATTTGAAACATTTAACTAAAGTATTGTGTAAAGAAAACGCTAGATATAATATTATGTATAATTAACTGAATTGATACTATGTATAATTAGTTGAACATAAAAAGTGATATTGTTTTGTAAACATTTAACTGAATTGATACTGTGTATAATTAATTCGACCTCCCTCACACGTTTTTCTGGCTCCGTCACTTATTTGATTAATATGAAAAATGTTTATTTTTGGAATATGCACACGAAATTATCTATACCTTTTAGGACTATAAAAAGTGACTATTTTTCCTTTTTCCCAAAAATGAGTATATATTTTTTAACGACCAAAAATGAGTATATGTTTAAGCTTTTTGTTTAATTTATTCATTTTTTATTGTAATTTATATAAAATCTTTGCCCCAACCACACTCCCCCCACACCTACCAGGACAGACCCGCCAATTGAAACCGCCGTCGGATTTCTATGATGGTTTATTTCTTCTTTTTCATTTTTTTAAAATTTTCGGGAAAAGTTATCGAAATTTTTTCCAGTTGTCACAGTGACATCTTTCACGGTGACAGTAACACTCATAAGTGAATGTTAGTTGCTTGAAAACTTGACAGTGACATTAAAGTTTTACAGTCACATCATGTTTTTTTCAAAATTGTGACTTTATTAGTCACATTTTGTCCATATGTAAAAGTGGCCACTTTTTTGAAATTAACTTTAATCTAGTCATAAATAAGGAAACCCTTTAATTTTTATTTTTGCAAATAACTATATTATTTGTCATTAATTAAATCATGTACCAAAAAATTATTATCAATATAAAAGGAGGAATGTCATGTCAAAATACTCAATACATGCACATATAAATGGATGACTTTACAAATTAATGGGTCACTCAAATTGTAGATCGGTTAATATAAATAAAAGAAATATTAGTAAAACTAAATTTTGTAAATCAAATATCTCTACAATCTTATAAGCATGAATAATGTTAGGGGTATAATGGTCACATAAAATGTGTTGGTGTACCTTTGATGTTATACACGGTGGTGCATCTGGCTGCGAGAGTTGTACAATTATAATTATGCGCACATAAGTAAGTTTTTCCTCCGTTAACACCCATTAACCCCGCGCTTTGGCGAAAACAGGGAAACCCGGCGACGATGCCGACGCGATTGCGGCAATTGGGATGGACATAAGATCTGAATCCAGCATCCTATTCGGTTCTCTGACCTTTGAATTAGAAGGAGGCCACCATCCTTCAGAGTCCAGATGCGAACCACCTCCCCAGCAGATCCTCAAGAACGCCAACCAGATTCCGCCCTTATCTGCTACTACGGATATACCACAAGTTGTAACACCGCCCCCAAATATATTTACTTTTAAGTGAATGATGTATTCAACCTTCTGGAATGGTTAATGAATTTACGAAGTTGTAAATTTTTATTAATTCTTTCGCGTGATAGTAAATTTGCACGTGGGGTCCACACCGGGAGCGGAGGCCGCCCGATATTCCCGAGACCATATATTTTATTCATCTTGATCTAGATAATATTTATGTGGTGATGAATATTTCATTTGGGCCGTGGAAAGGCCTAGAGTTGACCGATTGGTCAAAAGAGGCCCAAATAACCGCTATTTGCAAATTACTAATTATTATTCCAAATTGAATTTCGGGGACTTATAAATTAAAGTTGGGGAATTTATATTCATTATACATGCTATAATGGTTGAAAAACACATAATATATTTTATTTGACCCGATAAAATAAAATATATTTAAAACTGTCCGAAAAATACAACTTTCGGGGCCGATTGTACACTTCGGGACATTAAGGGATGACCTCCCACATGGGTGGGGGCCACCCCACGAAGTTATCTCAGCAAAACTAGGCAAGAGGCGTAGGTAATGGATGTGAGGTGGGAGAGAACTGATTTGAGATGTTTGGCATCAAAACAAATCATGGTGGCCCTCCTTTCTTTCACTCATTGCCGAAATGAGACAAGAGGAGCATTCCTACCCGTCCCCTCCTCACTAGTTCGGCCAACACCAAGGGAAAGGAGGAAAGAAGCTCTGCAACTTCATATTCCATAGCCAAACTCGAGCCAAGCTCAAACAAGAAAATAGGAAGGAAGTTAAAGAAGGAAAAAGCTAGGAAAAAGTGTGAAAATTAAGGTAATGACCTTATCATAAATTTTTCTTTGTCTTTCTTCTATCACATGAGATATATATCATATGAAGAACCCTTAGGATTGTTCTACATGTTATGAGTGTGGAATAATGGGTTGGAAAGTGGTTCTAAGTCCAAGAACGGACTTAGAAGCCAAAACGACCGGTTCGCCGGAAAATAACCTTTTAGAGGTTATTTATATTAATATGAGTTTTATGATTATAAAACCTTGTTAGGATCTTGATTGAAGTATTTCAAGAGCTTTCACAAAGTTGAAAGAGTCTCCGGAGTTGTCGCCGGAGTTCGTCAAAAGTCACCGGAGTTTCGCCGGAGTTCAACCAAGACGGGTAGAACTTCATAGCGTTAATTCGAGGTGAGGATGACCGACTATATTGCTTATAATTATTGGGTTAATTTCATAAGATTTCCTAAAGGAATAAAAATGTGATTTGCATGGATTATTAATGATTAATAATGCCTACATGAAATTACTATTGATTATAAGTATAGTATGCATAATATACGAATTTATGAATAAATTGGGTATGTTTATGTGATATGAATATGATGGTACGATGGTTGTATTAACCATGAAGTTTATTGTGATACATATACTTTTATTTCATGAGAAGAAGTCATGAAAGTATAAAAGTGATATTTTGATATTAAGGCCAAATTACACGTGAATGAGGAATATTATTGAAGTGAATAAACGACTAGTATTGAAATATTAGTTGGAAATGTTAGTTAAATAAATGATGAACTTAATCCTAAGAAATTGGATTGTAAGGAATATGTCCTAAGTAGTCTTAAGAGGTAATTTAAGGTGGACTTTACGAATAGAGTATATGCCAAGGGATTGCCTAAATATACAAATAGCGGTGATTATGAGTAGGGCTCTAGACCAATGTAAATAGCGGTGATTATGAGCTGGGCTCTAGACCGATGTAAATAGCGATGATTACGAGTTGGGCTGTAGACCGATATAAATAGCGGTGATTATGAGCTGGGCTCTAGACCAATGTAAATAGCGGTGATTATGAGCTGGGCTCTAGACCGACGTAAATAGCGGTGATTATGAGCACGACTCTAGACCGACATAACTACATAAGGTGACTAGGAGTAGGACTCTAGCACGGTGAATCGATATTAAATGAACGGGTTAACTATAAAGTAATAATACCCTAGATTGAGGGTCTTAGAAATTGAAACATTGATTATACTTAGTATAGTTGTCATTGTACTTTTCAAATACTTCAAAGTCATGACCTCCCCTTCACGGGGAGGCCACCTCACAGTTTTGGGTAGAACTTGAAGTTGCTACCATTGCCCGTTGCCTGGAAGGATTCAACGAGGGAAGACTTGGTTCGTGCTTCCTCCGTTTCTGTTTCAAAAACAATATGAATAATGCTCATGGATATTATTTTCTGAATAATCATTTTGGGGGGCTTGTATGCCCATGTTTGCCAAGTGTGGCTTGAACACTTGTAATATTGTTTCTGCTGCTTTAACGAATGATTTTACATTATGTTCGTTTATGGATGTACTACGTGTGAATGATATCCCAGATGCCTCGTATAGTATGTATGTGTTGAACTGTGGTTGACTATTCGTACTGTACGGTAGGTTGTTGACGTGTCCGGTAGGTCTGGGGCGTGACACAGGCGACCGCGACAAGTCGCGACCCACCTATCACGAAACGACATAGAATCTACTCTCGCGATGACAGGCTACATCAGCGGACGCCAAGGCGGCACCACCTCAGGGCTGGCAGTGGTAGGGATGTAGGGTTGCGTACATATCAGGGAGCTGGAGATGGGCGGCGCCAAAGAGACCACATAGAGAACGACGATTTATAGATCGTCACT